TGTATGTCTATATCTGTTTTCATGAGAAACCACTTTGAAGATATCAATATGTAATACAACAAGCATTGTTAATTCCCTACCACTCTGTTTGTAACTCTGTACTGTCTGTACTGATCCTTTGCTATTTTGTAAAATGTTGTCTGTTAGTATTTTTTAACCTTTTATTTTTAAAATAATAAAAAAAAAAAAGAAAACTTAGGGAGGCCAGGTGCCAAAATAAAATTAATAGAAAAATCTGAGGATACGGTTCAATGCAGGATTTACTACTGACAGAAAAAATAAACAAAGGAGGAGTAGAAAAGAAAGTCAGAGACAGTCTTGTATAAAGACACCTCAAGTGCCGCGCACAGTCTGTGCATGGCCTCCCAAATCAGCAGAGCAGCTATATTTCCTCACTTTGGGAGATGAGCAAAGGAGGTGAGGGTAGGGCAGAGATCTCTGCAGGGCCTATTGTCCCTGCTGTGATACCAGGCCTCTCAGGCCCGCTGGTATCATACCAGCTTTCTGTGCTCCTCTCTTAGTCTTTCCCCTTCTCGAGCCTCTTGATATCCCACTACCCCTTCTTTATCTGGCTGACGCCTGTCTTCCACTCTGGTTCCACCATGGAGGTCAGGGATTGAGAGAAGAGGATGAAGTTTGGGGAAAATTTGCACTCCGTGTATTCCACATCTCTAATTAGGCCTTGGGGTGGGGGTTCTCAAGGCAGCCATGGCCATAGTTGGGGCAGAGGCATTCCAAGCTCTGGTCCATCTCTACCAACTGGAGCTGGAGCTGGAGGGGCAGGAAAATCACTGAAGGAGTTGCCAATTAACACAGGCTGTGTTTTTCTAAAATCAGGAATGTTGACCTCTGGTAGCGTTCTTAATATCACAAGCTAACAGCAGATAACACTGGATGTCAACAGCTGACACAGCCAGCTTCAGGCCTCTGCTGCTTCTAACCGCTGGGTCCTGGTAACCACTGTGCAGGCCTGCATTCTGCCAGACCCGCTATCAGATACAGGGTTATGGTCTCTGCTGCTGACCTTTGCTGGCTAATGGTCTCTGGAGTTCTTCAGTGCTAAAAGCTTTCGGTGGTTATTACCTTTTTGGTTACAATGACTGGTCTGTCCACACTACTCAGTACAAGGATCCTGAGCAGATTTGTGGGACTCTTGAGGTCCACATTGCCTGAGGAACAAATCAGGAGTCATTTGACAGAAATGCCAAAGCCAGTCTTTATTTGAACAGAGCCTTGCTGCCCCACATGGGGTCAACACTGGACAGAGCTCCTGCTCTAACCTGAGAAGTGCTGGGAAGTGCTGCTTCTACAGCAGCTGCAGGCCTGTGCCAGTGAGGAGCAGGGCAGGAACCAGGGAGTCCTCTGGAAAGCTTGCAGCGGGACTTGGGGATGTTAAGAATGGGCCCTGATCTCTCCCTCACTGATCTTAGCCAGGCCAGGATGCCCCTTCTTCCTTCAAAAGGGCAATAGTAACTTCTGCAGTGGCAGAGCGGGGGAGAGAGCCTTACTGACAGTTTGATTTCACTCATATTGGAATGAAGTGGAGGAGCATGGGTGCTAGACAGCCAGGTAGGACACTGAAGCAAATTGTCCCAGGTCAGTGGAGCCAAGTGAGACCAAGCAGATGGAAGAGGGAAGGGTGCAACAGCCACAAGCTAACCTACTCACTCCCATCCTTTCCAATACTGGAAAAATAAGAAAGTGAGTCACTTCTGTCTTCCCTTAGAGGGGTCAGCAGCATTCTTCCTTAGTACACGAGGCATCTCGAGGGCTGGGTTCAAGGGAAGATTTCCATGCACACCAGTCAGAGTCTGGTATGGCTGTAAGGAAGAAGTCAAGCTCACACACCAGCTGTGAGACTCAGGACTTGGTGGGGAGGGGAGGGGAGGACCAGAGTGCACACATGCTGGTGAGACTTGGACTGACTCACAGATTCCAAAGCAGACCGGACACTGCGGGCTCCAGTCCCTACCCACTCTCTTCCCACTGAGCAGTGGCCAGGCAGGTGTCTCAAGTGTCCACATGGCTAACAGGTAGGCCACCGGGAATGCTGCCTTGTGGATGTTTCCCACTATGAACTGGCATACCTGGCTCTCACCAGTCTCCCTTTGTCCCCCTTTTGGCCCACCAGGCTGGTCCCCCCTGCCATCCCCGTTAGCTCCCACACTGTCTCCTAGAAAATCCAGACCCTCCTAGTAAACACACAGGATGCTCCACATAATCTTTGGGGCTGAGCTACTGCAAGGAGTATCCCACATACCCGAGCCAGAGCTGGGTACCCCGAGTTTCACTCAAAGCAGCAGTAATTGCTACATCACATCCATGCCTGTGTTCCTGTGGCCAGAAGCCTGGAGAATTCTGGCTACTCAAGGTCCAGCATGCAGAAAATTGCTTGAAGGGAAATCTGGATGGTTTGAATCCCAGGGACAGGCCCAGGATCCACCTGATCTAATTCACCCAAGGGCAGGGAAAGGGCCCTTAGGGATTCAGTTCTTGCATCTCAGGAATCCACTCTGATCCCTGGTCTGGTTACCAGAAGTGCTGCAACTGCGAAGTGTCCAGGCCCACCATAAGAGACACAAGGCACAGGGCTGACCTGAGCCACTGGGGATGCGGTGAGGGGAAGGGATGTGGTCAAAGAGCAGAGGAGAGCAATGCCAAGAACAGCCACAGAAACACTGGCCTTAGCCTGGCTGTGGCCCCTCAACTGCCCCAATGTAGGAATCCAGGTCAGGGGTCTCAGGGATGTGTGAGCTTCTGGGGACAGGGATTTGTGACCAGACTTTGGACTGGAGGAACAAGGACCCCCTGTCCCCTTCCCATGACTCTCAGTGTCACCACAAATATGTGGATGCTCTTCAGCATGTGATGAGAAGGCAGGAAGAGGTCAAGGCACCTCCCTCTGGGCCCAGGCGGGCACTGCCTTGCCCAAGATCACTGCAGGTTCAAGAGTCCCTTCTCAGGAGCTCTTAAGCACAAGACCAAATCCAGGTGCCATGTGTCCCAAAGCATAGCAACAGACTGCAGCTACATTGCCTGGGCAGGTATCTACCCCGGATGATCCCACTGCCTTGTCTCGGCACTTGGCTGTGTCAGGCTTCTGCATCTATAACCCATGTCTTCATCCCATGTCTCTGTCTGCTGGGCTCTGCTGAGGACAAGTCCGGAGCCCTGTCCTCTGCTGCTCTGCCCCCTCCTGAAAATTGGAGAGCAGGTATGGGGAAGGAGAGGGTCTCAAGGCATCTCAACCAGCTCTAGCAACAGCTCACCCTGGAGCTACGCTGAGGGCTAGGATCTGGGTTCAGTGGACTGTGAGCAGACACCACGTCCTTC